TGTTAGCTGTGCTTTAAAGGAAGGTGATGTGCAGCTGTGCCTGATAGAAAGCCTAATCCTGTTGGTTTCTCGTACATCTGAACTGAGAACGTCTGTAGGCTTAGCTTCCCTCAGGGCAAAGATGGAGAAACATTAAGTGTCTCAACCCCGATCAAGCTTTAGTATAACTTAAGTGCTAAGCTGCTCAGCACTGTAAAACTGTGGCACTTTGGGGCCCATAAGATCACCAACTGCAAACCCTATGAAGGGTAGATAACTCAAAAACCAGAGGACATGTGAGCCAATTTTGTTCTTTTGCCCTTACATTCCACCGAACTCTCTGTGTTGGTGCTTAAATCCTGTTTTGGATCTGGTCCATGGGCTCTGGCCTAATACCAGGTTTCACTAAACAGTTTATTCTTGTTTTTAAGCCTACTGCACAAATCAAAGAATTTCAGGTAAAATAAATTAACTGCTCCAGCAGGGTGCCACGGCAGTTATCTTCATTCACAACAATGCCACGTATACATGGCAAACAGCCAGCTGCTCTTGATGTACTGACGAATGCCAAGAAAACTTGGCCTTTAATAAGCTAATTAACTACTAGTCTTAGGATGTACAGCTCAGTTTTCCTAAGTCATTCCTTTGCCAAAGCTTAAGTCTTAACATCTATTGCCTCCTGTGTAGCAAATGCATTTCCAAGTCATTCTTCTGTTTTGAAACTATTGTGATGCAGGTCAAGGGCCAGACTGTATATTCCTTCTTTAGAAATACCAAGAAACACTTATTCTTCGAAGCTTCTGCCGCTATTTGGAGGCAATTACATGAGTATACAGATCTGAGTAAGCAATTAACTTTTTAAATAGAAGCCACACACCAGAGTGAAATAATCATTGGAAGCTGATTTTAAGTGTCATGTGAGTCCCTGCATAAATAAAGACTTTTAATGTACTCCCAGAAACTTTACTTCATAAAAGCCTGAGACTGCTTTCCGAGACTACCCAGGAAAACTAAAAATATGGCTATTGATGCTAGTAACAAATAATCCATAGCCAGTACAGCTACAGGAAGTTTAAGTCAAAAGAAATTTTGCCATAAAGGTTTAAATCAGTGGAAGTGTAAATAGGCGTGATTTTCAATAATGTTTCTTGAAATCATGCTGTTGGGAAGGACCATGTAGCTAGGGAATGGTGAGTTGACCCGATAGCAAACTTTTCAGAATATTTGTCTCAGAGATGCCACTTGATAGGCTTCAATTATGTATATAGTATATACTATGTGATGCTGTGAATAGAAATATATTGAAGTTCAAATCACGCAGAGGCAAGAGAAATAAAGAATAAATGAGACTATGAGTTGAGAACATAATGGAGCTGAGTCTTCAGTAATCTGCCTAAGTGATTATTTGCAATGTCAGCATTAGCTTAAAAAAAGCATTCTCATGCAGTCACTGAAGTCTGCAATGAAAACCAGAAGGCTCAGCGCACATGCTCTCTGTTCAAAGTGTAGCCAACGTGTGCCCTGCTCTAGCAGCAGATGGGCAACCCGTAGTCATCCCTCCCCAATAACAGCTTCAAACAAAGAAGCTAATGCCAGAAAATATTTCCTGTCCTTGTTTCCAAGATCCTTTACAAGCCTCCTCCGCCGCTGCCCAGCTGGGGTTCGGGAGGCGGCTGCAGGGCTCCCCACACCGCCTTGCTCAGACTGCTGGGGAGGCAGCGCGGATGTGGTCACGGGGCTGGCTGAAGGGAATGGGGCTTTACTGTGTCACTGCCCACCGCTTTCTGACCACAGTGCGGTCAGTCTCCTCTCTTCTCCTTTACAGGGATCGTTGGTCCCACACCATCTGAGGACAGCTGTTTTCCAGCTGTCCATGGGGTGTTGGAGGAGCTAGGTAATTTTACAGATAAGCAATTTTCAGAATCACTTGTTTTCTGCTGTGGGATTTCCTAGGAGCAACCTTTAAGTAATACAGCCCTTCGAGAAATCAATCTGACCCGAAGTTAAGGTATTTCATAAAGAAAGCATAAAGCCTGCTTTGTTTTGTCTAGACAACTGTTACGCAAATGAGCACTGCCTTGAAAGTTACTAGTGGGATGCTGAGATGTGTGGATATGTGTCATACTCTGGGAAGTGATGGAAGTGGAGGAACAGCGGTTGATGAAGTGACTGGATTTCTGAGGAAAGCCCAGGCATGCAGTGCAGTGCGATGTCAGTAACACATAACATATGAAAAGTAACCAAACGTTGCTGTGTCCGTTAGTGCTTGCATACGTACATAGCTATTTTTTTGATGTCTGATGAAGGTGGCATAATGCAATCCTGTGCATAGCTTTCGAAATTTTGAGGGTGGGATTACTAACCAGCCAACAGTCAGAAGGGCTGCTTACGGTTAACATCCCTGTCGTAATTTTCCATACTCCACACATCCCATCAGAAGTAACTCTTACGGAAGTTTATGAGATTGCCTGCTTAGAAAGATTGTATTCTTTTAATTATACTTGTGTCATCAAATCTGGAGGATCATTGCGAGGTCTGGTTGCGTCTGCTGGTATAGCTTCATAGCCATATCACTGGCATAGCTGCTTCTTGTATGCAAATGGTAATAAATCATGCACTGGCATAAGACATCTGTGTGCTGATATAATTGTGCCTACACTGGGAGCAGTACTGATGTAAGTATCTACGTAATAATGACACCCAAATGCAAGAAAAGACCAAATGACACAGAATCTGCATGCAGAGGCAAGGCATGAATTAATGCATTTTATACTATTATTGGCACTGTCAACCTAAGAGTAATTTAGACCTCCTCCAGTAAGCTACTTTCTGTCTGATTATGTGCTTTTTGGTACTTGTGTAAGAATTTCACTTCAACTGCTTGTGTGGATTCAGTTCAAATTGCACTAGTATAAAGGTACCTTACTTCCTATACAGCTTACACTCGTTTATTTAGACCGATTATATCACCATGAAAAGGTATTTTTATTGGTACTATGCACATGCATTTTTTCTGAGTTTTGTTACTCATGGTATCTGTAGGTAAACCACTTACAGTTACACTTACATAGAATTTACTCTGTGTAAAATAAAAATATACCCTTAGACTGAAAGGGCCAGATTCAGAAGTGATACGTAAAGGGCTAAATGAACCCGAGCAAAAGTAGTAGGAGTTTAAGGATTGTATCTTCCTAGTTGAATATGCCCCAGATATTTGACGCTATAGTAACATGACCTCACGTAAGGCCTCTTCCAACATTGGTCCAGAGATGCTGAAAATGATACGAAGTTTATTTGCCTAAACAAAACTGGAAAAAAATTGTGTTTCTTTTAAAGTGCTTGAAAATGGGCATCCTTATTCTCTACCTTCCCATAACCCATGCAGAGCCAGAAGCAAAGTCTGGGGAGCTAATTGGATGTCAGGGGTGGGAGCCAGTGGGGTTAGAGACAAAACTGTCTGCATGTTATCTGCACCGCTACAGAGTGGAAGTTTTTCTTAAACCGTGGATTATATCTGTGAAAATTTGGGAATTGGAATACTTTTGAACTTTATTCCTTCTCTTCTTGTGAAGCTGTTTTGTTCATTGGTACTGTGGCATTTAAATCTTGACATTAAGTAGCACCAAGAGTGCACTTACCGAAAAGAGTTCCTAAACACCTGGAAGCCAGAACTGATCCCGAAATTCTTGCTCCATATATGTAATATTGCTACGTAATTTTAGCTTGAAAATTTCTTTATTTCGTCTTGGGGAAAAAAAATACACAAACAGAGATGCTCTGTTTCAGTATCTGTGAACTCAGTGTGTTTTTCTTTGACTTCAGTGGGATTTTAATCTTGTGCATTTTCAAGTTTGCCTAAATTTGAAACTATCATAATCTGTAAATATTGTTTACCTAAGCCTCATACAGGATATCTGTAATTCAGATGGATTAGTTGTGAAAGGCTTCATAAAAGAAAGTCATTATAAAACGAGATCTGAAGGGAAGAAGAGAGTCTTAAAAATGAAGGCAAAAATGGTACTCTTTGATCATTTTGATAATAACATTTGATAATACTGTCATGCCTTGAAAATGACAACTTCATTCAACCACAATGAAATGTTGAAGTGTTCCAAATAGCATGGTACCTACTTTTCTTTCTCAACCAAAAAAGGATATATATGCACATTCAGACTAGTATTCTTCCCTCTGCTTCAGCAGAAGCACTGAAAAGTTACTGCTGATGATTAAAACACTACGTCTGACCAAAGCTGCCTTCATCATTACCATTATCATTACCATTATCATTATCCCCTTCCTCCTGGAACAGAAAGAAAATACCTAATGCCTGCACGGTTTTTGGAGACACCCCATATCTACAAGTAGGAAACATGATCGAGTTGTTGAGCTAGTAAGACTAGGAATCAAGGGATTTTACACTCTGTAATATCACTGACTTTTTAAGCAACCTCTGAGAATTGCTTAAATACTTGATATACTGGGTAATACATTATTAATCATTGTACTGCTTGACAGATGTGACATGAGGTTTAATATATAACAATCCCATTTCTTTAAGTGCAAGTGTAAGACTGGCCTTTGGAAAAGAAAAGTTCAAGGACTGATCAGGAATCTGAAGCTTTCTCTCTGTGCCTTGGTTCACCTTCTGTAAATAAAGAGAATATCCTATTTTTATTGTCAATGAAGAAATGCTTCTATGGCATGTATTTTGAGTACCTAACTGAATGCAAGTTTGAGCCTCTGCATGCATTGCAGAAATACAAATTTGACTAACAATAATTAATTACAGAACGTATCCAAACCCTGTTAAAGTCAATGAAAATACTCCCACTGACTTTACAAGGGGTGGGATAGGGTCATCGTGCTTTTAAGCTGCATTGACATCTTTAGAAGGAAGCTTATATTGATGTTTTTATCCAGGTTCTAATGTTTGCAAAGGGCTGGTGACTTTAACCTGTTGTTACCTATGGGTGTAAAAATTTATTTTAATGATTTTTTTTTTTTTTCCCCTTCCTGGGCAGGATTTATGTGGGCATCATTCATGTGATACTCTGGGAATGGCAGACGTTGGGACCATATGCTCTCCTGAGCGCAGCTGTGCAGTGATTGAAGATGACGGCCTCCATGCAGCTTTTACAGTGGCTCACGAAATTGGTATGCAGTGCCTTTTCTGTTCGCTTGCCAAATCAAACACTTGTAACAGCTGCATTAGTAACCAAAATACTTCGCAATTAATTCCAGATTTCCCCTGGTCCAGATACTCACTTGGGGATTAAGGCTGTATACATATGCACTTCAGGGTTAACTAATAAGGGATCAGAAGGCAAGTGAAGGCGCACAGTAGGTGTTTCCTTTCTGACAGTGTTGTTTCTAAGCAGTAGTTGAAGTGAAAATTCAAAGGCTGCTGCTACTGTCCGAAGATGTCAGTATGTGTCCTTCCTGAGAAAGCATTTGGCCCATCTATTGTAATTCGCACGCATTTAGTGCATACACAGTGGAAAATAATTCACCTTTTTGAACTACTTGCATGCTCTACTGTTAACGAAACTTTTTCTTGGGACAATGTATTACCCGCAGAGGAAGGCTTTTGTGGAAAAAACCAGAATTCTAATCTTTCTCTAAGTGTATGGAAATTCCACCTTTATGGTAAAATACGGTACTAATGTGAATCCTGAAATAAGTGAAATAGTATTTCGGTGATAAAGGTTTGGTCAAAAAAACTGTTGAACTTTGTTTCAGTTTCCACCTCAGTGGACAGCAATTTCATGTAGGAGCCTTACATGTACCCTTCAGAAGGACTTAAGACAGAATTAGTGACAGAAGAAAGTTCATATTCTGGGATATTACGTCTGTCATGATATATTCCTTCAGAGAGCCTGCTGCCATCTTGATTATTTTTAATTTACTAATGTTTTGTGAGCTGTGTTCACTGGAAATACATTCGGTATGAGGGCTATTCGCTTTGGTGAGTGAACAGCAATTTAAAAGTGGAGAACATTCTTTTCTTTTTTTTTAACATTCTTGGAAGGAAATGACAAGGAAAGGAGAACTTTCAGAGAGAGCCAATTTCTGAATTGCCTTGTACCTCATGCCAAACCAAAGTAAAGTTTGCTTTGGGAGTATCATTGCAGTAGTTCAATTTTCAAGTAGCTAGCAGGTAGAGCCCAAGAGTTGTGTGCCTTATATATACATCTGGCTCAGCAACCAGAGGTCACCAAGAATGAAAAAGCAGCTGGCATGTCAGTGACCTGACCCTTCAACGATTAGTGAACCTAATCCTGCTGCTCTTATGGTGCTACAAAGAAATGAAATCAGTAGTGGCTGGAGAGGGCTCATGTGTTGCATGAAAACATAAAATGTTGAGGCAGAGTGAGTCCCCAAACCAGAAATTTTATTTTAATGAACAAGAATACAATTATAAAAGAAAAAGCCCTCTGAAATCACTAATTCAGAGTATTTGGAGATAAGTACAGCAATACATCAAATACAACTTCACATCAGATGAGTTTAGTGGTATCAAACCTGGATGCTGTGAAGCTAATGACCCATCACGAACCTGGTCTGGAACTGAGACAAGTAGATAGATTGGCAAACTTAGCCTGTCATTCAAAGGCCAGTGTGCTAGAGGGACTGCTTGTATCTTCTTGCATCCAGAAGTGATGCTTACTGGTGAAAGTTAGTGGGTATTGGTGAGGTTGGTTGAGGGACCTTCTTGTGATGCCAGTGTTGATATATCTGGTGTGTGAAGAGGTGAGTAATGTGTCTCGACTCCCATTTTATCAACAGTAAGTACACGTTTAGATAGATTAAAAATAAAAGAACACAGATCAATAAAGATAGGGATGAGCAGTAAATATAGATATTATTACCTTGAATTCCACACAAAGAAAATGTAAACACAAGTGAATTATTTTTAGTGATCTAGAAGCACATTTTTGAAAAAAGAGCCATTTTCATACCTAGACATTTACAGAAATCTGTAAAAGCTATAATTTTCAATGTAAAAAAGGCATGAATTGAAACGAATAAATAAGTACCCTAATGGACAAAAAAACTCTAGTTTGAGGTTGTTTAAAATAACATCCCTTTTTTTTTTCTCCTCACCATAAGATTTTAAGAGAGGAGGGGTGTCAAGTCACAGAATGATCTTTTTGTGTGTGGCCTGAAGTGGGAGAAGTTGAGAAGAAAACACAGCTAAAATTGCTTGAGTACTTACATTAAATTAAAGGTCAAAAAAGGATGAAAAATAAAAGTGTGGCATGGATACCCTTTAGTTAAGCACTTTGGCGAAAACCTTGCTTTATTTTATTTGGAGACCAGAGTTCTTCCTACAATTCAGAAGTCTTAAAAGTTCCCCCTGTCCTCTGGGTAGGGTGTAGCTTTAATTTTACAGCGGCTTAGTGATTCAGTGGAATTCACCTGGTAACATAGGAGATGCCCTGCAAGACAGAGGGGATGCTAAGGGCTCTAAGCCTAAGATGCTCCTTTCTGTCAGTAGGGAGAACAAGGTGAGCCACTAACTGAATCAGAGTCACCGTCTGCAGTTTTTTAAATAACCCTGCTGCGTGTGCATGTGTGGCAGATGCAGCATCATTAACATGGACTTGATCCGGAGAATGGCTGTGTGTCCTCACTTTGACTTCCAAGGGGATCTGAATGCTCTTCTTTCCTCTCTGAAGGATCCAAGAGCATTTTTGAGGATCAGATTCTTTCTCTGGAAGGCAACCAAAGTAAATGGAACTGCAGCTCAACCAAACAGGACAATGCACAGCCCAGGGGCTCAAAAGGAAGCCTTCTTTGCATAGGAAGCCAAAAAGCAGCCTGCTACAGAATAAAGCCTGCCGCTTCTGTTGCCAGGGTTTCTACTACATTATGTGTTAGATGTTTATTTTATTTCTTTCAGATAAAACAGATGGATTCTGACCAGTGGTTTTTGAGGGGGAGAGTATGAATGAGCAGCAGTAACAGGCAAAATCTCCAAAGAGCTGTAAACGAGAGCACATAAAGAAATAGATGCAACCAAATTCTTAGTACAGCTGATTAGCTGACAATAAGAGGTGGAGAACCATATAGAAAGATTGATGAGGTAGGACCTGAATTGTGTCCTACTTGTACATAGAAAAATCAGGAATAATTTGTCTCCAGTGTTAAATGCAGAAAATGATGATAATGCAACAAAAAACAGGAAGAAACTTTGTAACTTTGAACGTGATAATCCAGTTTCTCCTCAGAATAAAGGAAAGCAGTGCTAATAGCATAAATGTTATTTTTAAATCACAGCCTGTCAAGACATCCAGCCACTAATGGTAAATCCATATATGGTTATTTTCTAGCAGGGGACGTGCTGCTATCAGTTTGGACAGCAGTAGCTTTGCTGTCACAAAAACAGTCTTCTGGATTCTTGCCTGAAATCATCAGTTCAGCTCCATATTGTGGCATATGGATGTCTTTTTTGAGTTTAAGCAACTCCTTCAACTATGTCTCCATAGCTTTGCAGGGATATCTGAGCTAGCTTAGGCACAGTATGTAGACATTCTCCAAGTCTTTGTTATCATCAACCTATTGTCTGTAAAAAAATGATATTTCCTTATTTCATGTACTTCCCTGCTTCAGAGAGACATCTGAAGGAAAGCATTAAAGAACCTATGATTGCTCATAATCTCAACATTTATTTAATGTTTTTCATAGGTCAGTACTAGCATATTGGTTCTCCATATATGCCTTATTAAAATAACCATCAGGAAACAAAAATAACTAGATTCTCATTCTAATACTCTGGACTTTTGGGTTGGAGATTTCTTGCTTTTACAGTGTTGAATTCTAAGCCCACCTGTGCATCCCATGAAGATAAGCATGATCCAACATCAGCAACAGACACAGTCAATCAATTTGAAGTTGCATTTAACATCTCTTGCGATGGGATATATCCAATACATGACAATTCCTGGTTTAGTAGCCTGGTGTTGCCTTTTGTGATGCAGGCACAGTCAGAAGTTGCTGCTGACTTTGGCTCCTCCTATGCTGGAATCTTGCATGCTTCGGTACAGACAGCCCACCATCCTAAAGGGTTTGTCATCTACAAAAACAGAATGAGAAGAGTTCAAGAGAAAATAAGTGGAGCTGCTGCCCATTTTATCAATGGGTAATTTCCCAAAATCACAAAGGAAGTATCAAGGAAAGCCAAGAATTAAACTTGTCTCTTGAGTTTCGATCTAGTCCTTAAATACAAAAGCATCCCTCCTGCAGTCTTTAAGCAGGCAAAGCTCCAGTTTAGTTCAGTGAGAGTTACATGGGTCTACTAACTTAAATTATATGTATCCTTATTCTTTCCATCAATCTTGAAGAACTTTTCTTTTTTCTTTTTTTTTTTTTAGAGGAGATACAGAGAAAGCGCTGCCTTTTTGTGCAGTGGTAATGTCCATTTGACCTTTTGCAAAGTTCCTAGTTCTCTGTTGTGCAACCATGCTGGCATGCTATTACTCCTTCTATCCTCCTGAGTAATATGGTTTACTGATGTTCTTTCCAAGTATTTTATTTTAGGAATATAGCTTTAAAATTGCTACATGGAACTAATTAAACCTCTGTTCATTAGTTTTCTTTTATCTTTTACATGTGACTTTAGAGAAGGGAAGGCCAAAGGGGGGCATAAAAGCAGTCTTCAAATATATTAAAAAAATCGTTGCGAAAATGTACGTAATAAATCATTCTCCCTGTCCACCTGGGACAGCACAAGGGGTAATGGCCTTAAATTGCAGCAAGGGAGATTTACTTTAAGCATTAGCCAAAATCATCTAACCAGAAGGACAGTTAAGGGCAGGAAGGAATTGCTTGGGGAGGCTGCGAAATCTCCATTGCTGGAGGTTCACAGGAGCCGGCTGGCTAAACCAGCTGTGGCTTAGGGGATGCTGATCCTACCCTAGGGCAGAGGGGTGCGCAAGATGGCTTTTCAGGGTCTCCTCTCAGCCTCATTTTCTATGGTTATGTGCAGTTATCACAACTTCCTCGAGAGCTATACTGTGTAACACCTACAGTCAAAGAAATGTACAGAAACTAAAACTAGAACATAGCGTGTTTAATACCAAATCTTTTTCAGCATGCCATCATTCTGTGGCATCTCTCACCACTGAGGACAAAAATACCACGAGCGCTGTCAG